GAGATGCAAGCTTTTCCGACCAAGTTGCGTTACATGTGCATTTGCTTGTCGGAGGTGATCTTTATGGAGGGTTTCATGCGTAAGATCTACAATTTCATTAACGGTCTGGAGGTATTGCATCTTATTGGCACCTATGAAAAGTGCGAGGAGGAGGAAGAGGAGATTTACGAGGTCATCAATGTGCATAAACTAAAGTCGGCGACACCAAACTTACGTGTGATCAATTTGTATGGCATCAATTTTATCGACGACTCGCATATCGATGCCTTCAGCTCGAACTGTATTCAGTTGGAGTGTTTGGCTGTGAATTTTTGCAATAAGGTGACTGGCACCACTTTAAAGACATTGATTCAGCGCTCGAAGCGCTTGAACTGCTTGCTCATGAACGGCACCAGTCTGAAGTCAGAGTATGTAATGCAGGTCGAGTGGGACAAATGCGCTTTGCAGGAACTAGATATTACCGCTACCGATTTAACAACCGAATGCTTGGTTGATCTTTTGACAAGAATACCGAATTTGAAGTTTTTGTCGGCAGGTCAAATTAATGGCTTTAACGACAGCGTACTAAAGCTGTGGATGGAGTCGGGTTTGACGCGGTGAGTGGCTACTAGTGAGATTACTTAATTGTTGATCATTATTCTAAGATAAATCATCAGTTTAAAAAGTATTCATTTATTGTCGGCATATTAGGGGTACTTGGTATGCAAATTTGAAACCTCAAGTTAAGTTCAATCCACATCCCTTTTGTTGTTTTAACGCGGAGGACTTACCTTTCTTTTCTATCGAAACTGGATACTCAATACTCGAATTAAAAATTCGGTCAACTATTTTCATATCGTCAAAAAGTTCCATTTGAACTTCGTACATCTTTTAAACTCATCGATTGTTAGTATTGTTCACGTTTCTGTGCCATATGTTGGAGCGGGCGTGAGAAGAGAATTTGTATTTTTTGTTGAAAGAGGTCTCTACTTCTCAAATGTTACCTAGTTCAAAGTAGCACTTAGTGGCGAGAGATATTCAAAACTCGAATAGGCGAAACTATCTTCAAGGCTGTGTCTTACAAAAAAAACCTTGAGACGCAATCTCCTTGACATTGTTTTAATGATATATAATATTTTATCTTGTACCATCCGTTTAGTTTCTTTCTCTAATTTTAAGAAAGTAAAGTCACTTCTACGGTTTTATAAAAGTTTCTGCCTGAACGGATCAGTTTTTCTGATCGAATTATTCTCTCAACCACTGTATAAAAGAAACCACGACTTCAAAGTCGGGAAATCGGTGTTACTTGACGATTCGTAGATTGAGCAACATCAGGCCTTCTTTCCCAGGGTATTCTTCATTCCCCCCTTTTTCCTGGAGCTTCACTGCTCACATACAATTCTCGGAACATTTTCGGAACAGTGATCATTTTAAACTCTTTGTACTTATGTATATACGGTTGTCAATTTGTTTTGTCTATAATACGGTTACCTTTCGTGATACCTGTTTTTTTCGGATTCGCTGAAATAAAATGGTCTTTTCGGGCGGCTTTTAGGAAGCAGAATATATGAGACCTTTAGCGCAACAAGTTCGGCTTTTTATGAGATTTTTTCAAAATAAAGCACCCATTAGTTCTTTGACACAAAAAAAAACAATTTTTTATCCAGGCTTGTCAAATATTGCGGCAAATATCTCCCTACCTCTGAGCAATTTTTGGTCGTCAGTCAATTTGTGCGGAACAAACCGTGCACATACCTTTTGTAAGCCCAAATGTTCGGTCAAAATGCAATAAATCGATGTTTTGAAGATGTTGAATTCTATTTCTATGAATTTCAATCATGATTTCGGCTGATTTTTTATGAATTCACGCACAGTTTCGGTGGAATTTTCGGATTTTGGTTGGCCTACATTTTCATCGTCATTTATGTGCTCACGACCACTTTGAAAACGTTGAAACCACTCGTGCACTCTGCTACGGGATAGCGATCATCGCCATAAACTTGTTTCATCAATTGAAACGTTTCGGTAAAAGTTTTGCCAATTTTAAAACATAACTTTAATGTTGGCTCTTTGTTCGAAGCTCATTTTCGCACCGATGACAAAAACATACTGACACCTAAAACGCAATAACTTCACTTCCAATAGATTCCAAGGATAGCAAATTCTAACGCACTAGTCGACATATTAATGGCGACACTAGAGTTTACTTTGTTACATTTTTACTGTTTACTTTGGAACGCACCTTGTATAGTATCGAATGAGGATGCGAGTTTCTCTGAGGAAACTCTGCGTAACATGCTGTTCTTATTGATTCCCCGTCTTACTACTGTTTTACATATTTTATAAAGAGAAGTATAAGAGATATCCTTTCTTTCGGTATATACTCAAGGGTTAAAAAAGCTGTCTATCTGAGAATATATTTAACCTTTTCTTTCTAGGTCGCTTATTTCTTTGGACTTGGATTCATCGGATAATATTTCCGATGAGGGATTGCAGAAATTCCTAACACGCCACGGCGCACAATTGGTAGCCTGCAGCCTTTCTGGCATGCCACATATTACCGACCAACTGTGGATGGCCATACTACCAGTGCTAAGCAATGCAAAGTAAGCGACATTTAAAAGAATTCGTAATGACATTATTTTATAATTAAATATGTATGTCTCTGATTCGTTGTTAAGAATTATTGTGATGGGCACAGCGGAGAAGCTTGGCGTCAACATACACGTCGATCAGCTGATGGACACCATTGCATCGAGCTGTGGTAACTTGGAGCGTTTGGAACTGAGGTAAATTGCATAATGAATTAATAAAAAATATAAAAATTTCTAACATCGTGATATTTGTGCAGATGGGACCCCGATAATTTGCGTTTCTCGGACAAGAGTCAAAAGGCCATCGATTTATTGCGCGTCAAGTGTCTTAAGCTGCGCTGCATGGTGTTGAGGTGAGCTGTTCAGTGCCTTTAATGCAAACACTAATTAATATATGTTAAAATCTGTTTTGTTAATTACCGTTTCTATTTGCTTTGAGTTTAGTGATGGACGCTACTATGAAACGGTGAAGGCGAATTTCGAGCGCGCCGATCGTGTGACCGTTGTACGCACAACGACTTGCTGTCGCGTCTCACCTTACCATTTGCTACGCAATTACAATGAATTGATTTTCAATTGAGGAATTAATATTGTTGCTGTTTTTCCCTGTCTCTCTCTCTAGTCATGTTTTGTGTACTTTAATCGTTTAAATTGTCCGTAGCAAATTAGATATTTGGTTTTGTGGCTTGATATTTGTATGTAAGCAGCTCAAGGGCTTTTACAGTTTTTCTTTGGAAATTTTGTAAATACAACACCAACAAAGCGTGATCGATTTTGTCAAAGATATGGTCATAATGCCTGTGTGTAATAATGAAGCAGCTACGTCGGTGTTAACAATTAAAACTAAATAAAGTTCAAAATTTAATTTTTTTTTATGAATAAATAATTTTATAGCTTCCAGCTTTGAAATATTCTCTTTACACTGTTTAATTTTAATTTAGAGAAAATGCTTTATAAACTAAAATAAATAATAGTTAAAAAAAACTAAAAAAACACTCTCTCTTCCCTAACATCTTGGGGAGTGGGCGTGGTTATTATCTGATTTTGCCAATTTCACAGCGTATGAAAAAGGGCTAAAAGGACTTCCTCGCAGCAAATTTGGTTGAGTTAGCTTTAGCGGTTTGGAAGATATATACATTAAACCATTAAGGGGGCGGGGTTACGTCCACCTTTAAAATAATGGAAAACTGTTATCAAATTATTGCATTGTCATCGGTCCTTGATACGTCAGTTAAAGTTATGTAATAAGGAAAAAACATCTTTTATGAAAATATTTTTCGTGATTTTGATCGGTCAACCATATGCTATAGTAGTCGGATCTGAAAAAAATGTTTGGAGATTGTAGCGTTGTCTTGAACAATAAGTTATGCCATTAATTTATAAAGATATCTTCGCGAATGAAAAAGTTTTCCACACAAGGACTCGATTTTGATTAGTTTGCATGGCAGCTATATGCTATAGTGACCCGATCTGAACAATTTCTTCGAATATCTCGAAAAAGGTCTCAATATAAGAACGGTCAGTTTATAAGGCAGCTATGTACATATATAATATAGTGGCCCTATACCGTCAGTATCGATAAATAAGCTGCTTTTTGTGGAGAAATGAATGTATGCAAAATTTCAGACCGATATCTCAACAACTGAGGGACTAGTTTGCGTATATACAGGCGAACATATTTAAAACGACTCAGCTCGTCACGTTGATTATTTATATATACATATATATTTTTTTGGGATCTCTAATATACCATGTTCAGTGTTTAAAAATTCGTAAGCCACATATTCCTCACGTCAGTCACTTCTCTCTCTCTCTCTCTCTCTCTCTTTCTTTTACGCTCTTTTTTCACTGCAGCCAATCGTGTTAAATAACAAAAATATTTATTTATTAATTTAAACTTTTAATTGAATGTCTAAAAATCTCATGTCATAAAAATAGATTTATCATTTCTTTAAAAATTTTTAACTCAAAAAGTATTGCGCTTTACATGTAAGAATATTTAACAAACGCATACAACACTAATTGCAAAAGAATTACCCACAGCCATCTTCAGCCTGAAATGTCTTCATTTTAATTAAATAATATACATAATTACTTTTTCAACAATATACAAAATTATAGTGTTTATTAAATTTAATCACGACTAAATTCTTAAGTGTTTATTAATTTTTTTCTATTTTATGTAATGCTTTTTTTTTAACGCTATGTGTATTTTATCCACAATTTGATGGCGTGTGTTGTAGTAAGTTTTCACAATTTTTCGAACGGCTCGGTGTTGCGTGCGAAATTTTTCTAATTTCTACGCCTTTTTTTTAACTTAGAGTATACATATAATAATATAAGCAGTTATATTTACAAATATTACAATTTACCAAATAGCACGATGCCAATGCATTTTATGCGTTGTTTCCGTGTTTTTTCGTTTTGTTTTGAGTTTTTGTGGGTTGTAAGCCTTGCTGAGGTGTGTACGGCAACTACAACAATGCATTGTGTTATCAACGGCGGCAAGAATCCGCTTTCATCTAGTGTAAACGCCAATCGTGCGCGTTCTTCCGTGGTCATTGCTGCAACACGAACGTGGTTTTAGTGGTGAGTGAATGAGTGTGTGTGCGCGTATGTGCCATATGTTTTACTGCTTGCTTGCCGTGAATTTGTCTTTTTCTTTTTATACAATTACTTGCTAAATAGCTTGCCTTTTTCGGGTAGTTGCTTGAACCGCAAGAAATAAAATTAGCTCTTATACAGCTAATATATATATTATGTTGGAATCATAACATATTCAAATTGTTAGCTTTACATACGAAATAAATGTATTGCGCTTTACATAAGTACACACTAGTTATCTACATTTCCAACGCCTTTATGTCTTTTCTTCTGCTTCTTAATGTTTTTTTTTTGTGCCTGACACACCCACCCCCATTCACATGCAACCCGATTCAAGAGTTCGTTTGGTTTTTTTCTAAATTTCGTTTAATTTTTTTTTTTTTTTTTTTTTTAACTATACCCCAAATGTTTTTATTCCTGTATACCAATGTCAGGTGACCATCGAAATGTTTGCGTACTATTGCTGGCAGCGGCTGCGGCTACAGCGGCAGCTGAAGATGTCGTGGCCGCAGCGTTTGCGTTGGTTGCATTATTACTTGTCAATCTGGGCGTTGAGTTCGACGAACCGGACATGTGACCCTCGTCGATGTCATCCTGCAAGCAGATTTGGGTTATCATTTTAGTTTCAAAAATATAAAATAAATAAAAAATGTTAACATCGGTTGCACCAAAGCTATAATACCCAACAAGACATTGGTTTTGATCGGTTAGTGTGTATGGCAGCTATATGCTATAGTCTTTCGATCTAAAAAATTTGTTCACAGATTGTATCATTGCCTTGGAAAATAGTTCATGGCGAATTTCGTGAAGATATCTCGTCAATTAAAATCTTTTTCCATACAAGGACATGATTTGGATAGTTCAGTTTTATATACATATATTTTATAGGGTCTTCGAAGCTTAATTCTAGGTGTTATGATCAGCGTGTAAAAATCTTACATTGTACTGATGAATAGGCGCCGGCGTGGGACTATCCATGGGCGTCAGTTCATCGCTTTCGTCATTCTTATCTGTGTACATCATAATCTCGTGACATAGTGGGCAGCGATCTTGCACATACAACCATTTTCGTAGACATACACCGTGGAAATAGTGGCGGCAACGTGTAATTTTGGCAGAGTACATTTCCTGTGTAAAGTAAAAACATTAAATAAATAAGTTGTAATTGTTGAGAGCGAGTCTGGACATTTGACATTACCTGATAACAGATAGCGCAAACATCATCGAAGGCGCGCAATTGCGCTGAAGTCGCCTCGGGTAGTGCTGAGATCTTGTGTACCGCGGAGCGTCGCTTCATGAACACGGACCAACCGGCCCGAGCCTCACACCAAATGTTGAAATAGGCATGTATGCACATCATGATTGCACGTATGGCACCGCCTATAACATTTTCGGCTATCAAGTTACATGTTTTATTATAATAAATAAATTAGAAACCCAAAAAAAAAAAAAATGAAAACAAAAACACAAAACAGGTTCACACAAGATCCTTTAGACAGGCGCACATCACACAATAAATCAACTCAACGAATGAACTATAAAAACTAAAATTATAAATGACAATTTGATGCAGCTGCAACATAGGTTCGGTTATATTATGATTAGCATATATTTTATATGTGTATAAATTAAAATGATGGTATGTAATGAGTGTGACAACGGCTTTAGAAACAAACACACATCATAAATTCATAAAATCCTTTCCTATTTGGCCAACTACGTCGGTTGGCTGCTGAGCACGTATAAGCTGCAGCTTCGAACTTTAAACCATAATATTGGATTTTAGGTGACAAATAAAAATAACAACAGAAATTGACATAGCACAGCGGATAAAACTCACCCGACTCGAAGACCAATATCCAGGCACCGTTAAAGAAAAGCAATATACCAAAGCAAAACTCAACAGAATTACCAAAGGCGCGCACATAATATAAATAATCATCAAGTTTCTCCCAGAATGTTTGTCGTCGTGCATCGAGCAGGAATAGCGTGTATGTGGCCAGTGAAACAAGCACCTGTAAAGTGGCAATTTCACATAGAGAATATACAATGAAATAATAAAAAGCAAATAAGGGCGCACACTCACCTTTACAACAACTTCGACCGAGAACGCCGTTACCGCTAGCAACCAGGTGGAAGGTGAGTGACGAGACCAGAGCACTGCAAGCAAACAAACCGGCGTGACAACCAAAAAACCGCAAACGGTAAGTGCGCGTACATGTCGCTTGCGTGAGGGATTGCGTGCCGCACTCAATGACATCAGTATCGGCGAGACAATGTTGTGTAGGAAATGCAATAAAGCTGTAATCAATAAGCACAAATTTCGACACAAACGGACAAAACGCTTATCGGGCGACAAAGAGGTCAGTCCTGTTTGTAGGGCGAGTATATAGAAGAGTACCGCTGAAACAGTACCCAAGGATTTTTCCTCATCATTGTCGAATGTTAAGAGATACCATTGGAACCCGCGACCAATATAGTGACAAATCACCGATATTATCGAAGTCATACCCAATACGGCAGTGAGTGTTTCACAGCCATCGACCAATAGTTTCTGCATGGTGGGAAAGAAGCCTAATGGTGCAGTGCTATCTGAGAGCAGTACTAAGGAAATTAATTCCTGGCCAATTCTATAGAGAAATAAGTGAAATTTTTATATTCCATTTTTTTATATCTCACGTACTTGCTGACTTTACCTTATACTCCAAAAGACACGCAGCACACTCGGCACATTCAAACGTTGCCACTCATTTTCGATCAATGCGGATAAACCAAAATTCGACACAAAATTCATTGCATATTGATAGCCATTATAAACAGTCTTGGCAGCGTCGACAGCACTGTTAAGCATTGTCATTTTCGTCAGTATTAACGGTACTGCACCGGCTAGCACTGGTAAGTCTTTGATAATGCGCGGTGGTAATGGTAACATTGCTAAAAATATTGGGCCGGCAAATACAACTGGCATAATTTTTTGTATCGTTGGATAACGCGGTCCTAAATGCACATAAGCGAAGAGCATACCCATAAACCATTGCGCCACTAGGTGTGGCAATATCGATAAAGCTATACCGCCTGTATCAAGCAGTCGTGCTGTATTTAATGAAAGAACATCTTCTAACAAGCACGGCGAATTTTCCATTAATGCTAGCGCAGATACATTTGACCAATATGATATAAATGTCAAACCCAATGATATCACAAACATGTACACCATCACCAAATGCCGTGTCCATAGCATAAATATGCAAGCAGCACTGAGAAAAACTGTAAAATGTCGCAAAAATTAATAATACTGCAATGAGTTATATGTCAACTAAAAAAAAATTAACTATAATTGATTTAAATGTTAAACACGCATGTGCAATCGTTTCCTAAATGTATACTCGTATTAGCCATTTATAGTCTCAACGATAACTTCGGTTGCATTGAAGCTATAATACCCTTCACAAATATAAAAGATTCCATACAAGAATTTGATTTTGAACGTTCAGTTTGTAGGGCAGCTATATGCTATAGTGGTCCTATATCGGCGGTTCCGAAAAATAAACAGCTTCTTAAAGAGTAAAGGACGTGTGCAAAATCGCTATCTCAATAACTGAGGAACTAGTTCGCGTATACATATACAGACAAACTAGCGGACAGACGGACGTGGCTAAACGACTCAGCTTTATTTTATAAGGTCTCCTACATTTCTTTCTGGGTGGAAAACTTAATATATCCTGTTCAGGGTATAAACACTAGTGAAAATGGTTTTAGTTCATAGATTGAAATTTTGTTGCATTTCAATGCATATGCAGACATAATTATTAACTTCTATTATTAAGAATGTTTGTGGCAAATCTGCGTCGAAGTGCCGACAAAAAAAAAGCTTTAGATATGTTTGTATATTGTCGTTACATATACACATGTATTTATGCATTAAAATTCAAACATTAAAAGTTCGTGCCTAACTGTGCTATTTAGAGGTCGTTCATTAAACTTATTGCTTAACTACTTAAAAGTATATGTGTGTAGTTACAGTATTACCGGATTTATCGCTGTCAATTCATTGCTCTACTTTTACCCTTTCAAAGCTTTTAACAAATTTTAATCATCAGTTTTTGCGTTTTTCTTGATTGCCTAAAGCTATTCACTAACTAGCATTTATAAAAAAAAAAAAAAAAATAAGAAAAAAAAAAACAAAAACAAAGAACCAGAAATTCGTTGACTCATTATGATTGAGTGCAATTCGAGCGCGGTGAGCGCAAACACGAAACTAAATACAAATTTTACGAGAACTTTTGTTATTATTTTCGGGTAACATAGTTGATAGCTTACAGATAGAACTGCGCCAGTTGTTTTCACTAAATATTCATATGTAGTTTTAATTTATTTATGACGCTCGCATAATGTAAAAAACATAAAAAACAAACGATTTACATACCAATTAAACAGACAATAAACTTCACCGATGTTATCGACAACACATCTGATAGAAATGTGTCCTGCGACAATTCATTCATCATGTGGCCAAACGAACTGCTAAGGACACCACTTGTGGCGGCTGTAGCGGATGCATTAATTATGGCACGCTCTAGCGGGCTATCGCCACCTGCATTATCGCCACTAGTGCTATTTATAAGGCTGGCATTGCTGAGCTCCGTAAAAGCCGTTGACGATACCGTAACTTTGGTGTTACTCGGTGTTTGATTTGCTGTAAATTCGGCGGTCAGTAAACTCGGATCAGCTGGTGCGGGATAAAAACGAGTTGGTAGTCCCATACTAATTTTGAGTACCTCATCTATGACTAATATTGGTGGTACACGCATCATTACGTCCACTAATCCAAGTACTTTGGTGCGCACAGACATTTTTAATGTATTCTGGTTTTCTTAATTTATAAAAACCTTGTCTTGTAAAGAGTAATAAACGAACAAGACAAATAATAGAACAGTTAGTGGGTCAGTGACCAATGACGTGCAGTTTCTTCACCTGAAATTGTCGTATATTACTTGATAACCAACCTTGAGTCGAGTACACTGAGTTGGGCTTAGGCACCACTGATATTTGATATATATTGCACATTCAATCCGACTTGTATGAGCTTTGCGTTAATCTATAAATTTTGTTGCAATTTATAATTTTACATATTATCGTCGTGGCCTTATCGCCGCCTTGGTTGTGTTTGTGTCCCCACTTTAGCCTGTGCTATTAATTTATTCAAGCACAGATTGCGAACAAATAAATTTTTACACTTTTTCTGCACTGCCTGTTTCCTCTCACCACCTTGTAGTCCTGTGTCACCACAGGTGTTGGTAAGTACGTCCCTTGTTTACAATTTTTCTTTACACTTTGATGGAAAAAGCATAAAAATATTACAAATGTTTTTATTCCGAACTTTGCTTTCCTTTTTCGATGTCGTGAATTATTAACGCTTCTTCTTTCTGTACGTGTCGAGAATTGACTTTGGAAGCAATAATGTTTTCGTTTTCTTATTGCTGCTACACAAACCAAAGCAGCTATCTCACTTCGGCATATATGTGTAAATTGAATTGACAGTTATGTTTTTGTTTTGCTACAAAACGAAATGTCAATTTTAGAGAGATGCCTTATCAAGCAACAATATTATGTAAAAATAACTACAAACCTTTCAAAAAACTTACGGCTTTGTCAATATTATGTAATTTGAACAGAATTCGTGTAATAAAAATGAATTTTCTAATCTTTTTATTGCAGCAATAATATCTGTTTTCATTTCATTTACGTTCTCTGCTTTGATATTCATTTACGTTCTCTGTATATAGTAAACACAACAACAACATTTTATACGTTCTCTGTTGTTACATAAATACCGGAAATTACTACCAACCATGCAAACTTCACCATTAGGTGGTGCAAAAACCAACTATTGTTGGTATATATATATAACGTATATTATATACGTTCTCTGGTGCAGTGAGTAAAATGAACGTGCGCGTCAGAATTTTGTTTCTACTTTATACAGTGAAAATCGGGTGCAAATAATGATGCAAGTGTAATCAGTGTGCTTTAAAATTTGTGCACGTTTAATAAGCTTATGCATAATATGGATTAAACTCGTGCTGGCTGGTAAATAGCTCGAAATTATATCAAGAAGCTTGCTATTGTTCCGCAAGTGTAAAATTTGTGTGTAAGTACTTCCATACCAATTTGAACAGTTTGTATAACTTCTTATTATCTTATATTCAATTGAATTCCTTAAGTCTTAACTGCGCCTAGGTGAATATATTTGAGAAAGACTTTCTTTAGCTTAATCAGGATGTTAAAATTAAAGTTTCCGGCTTTAGGCAACCGGAAGACACTTCGATTGTTGGAATTGATGCAAGTACTCGTAGCGAGTTGGGTTTCATGCATAGAGTATAAGCATATATTCACCACGAAACATTTATTTCCAAATCAGATTGTTAAAGTTGGCATGTTGGTTTTTCAATTCAAAGCAAGTAAACAACAATAAACATTTATTTTTTCCAAATACATATTAATTGCATTTAATACTTTTAGAATTTCTCCACACTCGGAACTCTCTGCTTTGTTTCTCGTCATGTGTTTTCTAATATGCGTTGATTTTAGGAAGCTTCAAAACTTTTCTGCCATACCCTATTCCGAAATGAGAATCTTTGTAACACCCAGAAGGAAAAGTAAATATATATATAATTGACCAGCGTTATACATATATGTATATACTCGAACTAGCCTCTAAGTTTCTTAAATATTGATCAGAAATTTTGCACACATTCTTTTTATGCCCTTTTGTGCTATAAGAACAGGTGCATTTTTTATAGCATAAAGGGTGTACATCAAAATAATAATAACTTATTAAATAATTAATTAATATTTGAATCGACTTTTCACTTATGAGTCTATAACCGGGAACTAGTTTCGGTGCAGCCGAAGTTTACGATTTTCTTGTTTGGTAGTACTTTCATTATTGTAATGAATACTGCCTAACCTTTACTTTCTTCTCCATGAAAGCCGACATATCTTCAAAATAATTTTATTAAATAAAAACGTTTATTTAAAATTATTCATTTATTTCAAAACTTTTTATGGCATTTTGGTAGAGCGTTGATAAAGCTTACCGAAGTACATCAAAATAATAATAACTTATTAAATAATTAATTAATATTTGAATCGACTTTTCACTTATGAGTCTATAACTGGGAATATGTTTATCCGATACAAGTATGATAAATCACATCTTCCGTTCAATAAATACCAACACCGCTTACAAAATGATTTTCACCCAATTTAATATTAAGCTGACAGTGTGACTAATTTAAGGAGTAATTATTACATCAGCACCCGCTTAAGCACTAATTACAAATATTCTTTCATCGTTTGCAGCGCATGCCACATGTGCAAAATGGTTTGAACGCATGCGCAGCAAACAATTCTTAGCATAGAATTAAAAATTAACTTAAATAAATATGAATTATTACTTTATATTAGTTGTGGAGAAAATTTACTTCGGAAGTTTTTTCATATTCAGTGTCAAGATTAAATTTTCAAATTTCTGCGTCGATTGCCTATGTTCGCCCATTCTACGGGTAAATCGCCGCCGGTCTCATATTTAGCTGGTGTGCAATTAAGCAGTTTCTGTGCACGTTCGCAGCGTCGACTAACGGTCCAATAGGCGAATCCTTGCGGGCAGCGGAATAGTTGGCCTTCTAGTCGACCCGTCGTCGGCGAGTGAGCACATTTGATAAAGAGTTGACTGCATTCGTCCTTGTTTAGTGCAAAATGGCCTTCGTCGGGGCACAGTGATTCGCCGACGGAGCGAATTTGTATCTGTTTAAAATTTAAATAAAATAAAATAAAATATATAAAAAAATTATTACAAATAGAATCCAATACTTACCATATTCATGAATCTTATCTGCTCGTCATAGAGACCCGATCGCGTTATCGATTTCTTCAGACAGTTATCGTTTTTATCGGGCTTATCGCAAAGGTTCCTCTGTTCATGATATACAGTGCCTTTGGGGCACTCGAAAACTGTAATTGCCATATCGTAGCTCTCGGCTTTCTCGGTACATTGATAAAATAAGTCACAACTTTTCGGATGCCGACGGAAGCCGGTTGGGCAGACAAAAGTATTTTGACCTTCGCCAATTTGAGGGCATGGAGAGCTGTGATTTGAAGCAGGGCTTGGCTTTATTGTTGTTACTGATTCAGTTGTTGTTGTTGGTGGGACGGTGGACTGTTCTGTGGTGGTATATATTTCAGTTGTTGTAGTTGGTTCAGTAGTAGTTGTGATCAACGTCGTAGAAGTTGGTTCTGTTGATGGTTCCTGAGTTGTTGTGGTAGACTGTTCTGTGGTTGAAGTTGTAGGTACAGTTGTTGGTTCATCGGTCGTTGTTTGCTCCGTTGTTGGTTTTTCTGGCTTCTTGGTGGGTTTTTCGGTAGAACTAGTAGTCGTCCACTCCGTTGTAGCATCCTCTGTTGTAGTTGCTGTGCCTGAAGAATTCGAGCAATTACCCGAAACACTGTTGGGGAAATTACAAATCTCTAGCGATGTATCCCAAACGGTACCGTCCGGACAGCGGAAGCTATATATTTGATATTTACCGTTCTTACTTGCGTCAACACAACGATAGTAACGGTTGCAATCCTGTGGATCGGGGTAGAAACCTTCGTTGGTGCAGACATGATTAACTGGTTCGACTGTAGTGCCCGGATATTCTTCCGTAATCGACGGAGTTGTGGTATAATCGGTTCCCGGTTTATCTGTGGTTGAAGGTGCTGAAGTGGTGGGTTTATAGCCCGGCTTTGAAGTGACTGGATACTGTGTTGTATCCGTTGGAATAGATGTGGTTGTGGTCGTTTCCTGTAAACCAGTGGTAGAGTTCTCAGTGGCACTGGAACTTTCTGGAAATGTTGATGTTTCTTTTGTTGTGGTTTGCTGTGTGGTAGTGTCAAGTATTGTTGTTGCTTGTGTCGATTGTGTAGTTGTTGACCATTCACCGGGCTTAGGCGTTGTGGAAGTCTCCAATGTGGTTTCTGTAGGAATGGTTGAAGTTTCAGGTTCTTCAGTTTGTCTTTCACATCGCTCAATATTTGCCGCGTAGTCACAAGTTTGCTTATCCTCGCTCCAACCTGTACCCTTGGCACAAGTGAATTCATATTTTGTGTATGAATCTCCTTCGCGGACACAACGATAGAACTTCTTGCAATTCATTGGATCAGCCATATAGCCTTCACCTTCGCAAGTTTGTCCTGGTGGCAAATTCGGTACTGGCGTGGTCGATGTTGGTGATGATATCACTGAATTAAAAATCCAAAAGACAACGAAAATAGTCGTCCTCTTGTTTGAATAATTGGTTGTTATAATATTTCCCGCATACGCATTTTTCTATTTTTGGCTCACTGCAAATCAAACCCGCTCTTACTGTACATCGCCCACATATCAATTAAAGGGTTTAAGAAAGAAATAGAGCGAAAGTTCTCGATGTTTCCATTTTATGAGGTAGGGTAAACACAAGGATTGCGTGACCTGTTCGCTCTCATCTCTATATGCTTTTTCTTCCACCTTTTTTTCCTAATTTCTTTCTAATCCCTTACTTTATTTTCTCCCTCTCGTCGACACTGAAATAAACGAGAAGATGCTAAGAAGGTGAATGTTATGTATGCTATTGAGTTTTATATTTTTCCCTTTCATCGCTATATGGGGAACTGATCCGGATATATTCTGAGTAATCGCCTCTATTAATAACATATGGATATGGACGATGGACCTTAAAAAATATAAAGAACTTGGTTCCAATTTCTTATATAGAAAGTTACAGTGATCTATTTTAATGCACTAGAGGTTTAGACAGTAAGCTCAAAAAGTCGAGATCCAGACAAAAGATTTTTCTTACTTCCCAATCCGAGAAAGTGACTGTACCATTAAAAATTTTAACTGATTATAGAAATCAGTAAAAATACTACTTCGAGCACTGAGTATATGGATTTTGGAAGCATAAAATCTAGAGAAAAATATGTTCTGCTCAACCTAACCTTTATTAGTTTTAGAGGTTAGGTTAAGGTTACGTTATTGTAGAAGTTGAGCTTCTTAAACTATTTTTTATTTACCTCTACAGTTAACTTTCATTCTACCAGTACTGATTTAGCAAACCAGCCTCGTAAGCAAATTTTTCTACCGCACGCTAATATAAATTCCAGCAAAAATGTCACTCAAAATGTTTCTACGCTGTAATCGTCGCTGTTCAATTGCTGATTTTTAGTGCATTGAAGTAGATTAAGTCTGCATACAATCGGGCAGCGGGGAGACAATCTACAGCGTCAAGAGTCAATTATTATGCCGCGCGCCAAAGTGTTCAATAATTTGCTTGCATTACGGTAGTACATATATTGATTGAAGTTTTATCCGCAGCGTGAGAATTGCAATTCACCAAGTTGCCATAGAGCAGGAAGATTAAAAATTTGATCCCATTAACATACAAGTTTTAGTTGCGGAGGAAGAAAATGCAAAAGATCTTATTGTAAAAATAAATTTAATAATAATGTGCTGCAATGCAAGAATTGCATTGGTACTAGTTAATCAGTTAGATGGGAAATTTGCATCAGGATAGTAAAAGTAAAATAAAAGATGAGAAATGTATGGCCAATATCGTCCTGGTGAGCTTTTCACCACTAATTGTGAAGTGGCCGAAGCACTAAATTTCAAAGTATAAAGGTCAGTAAAATGCAATCCATTATGTAATGTCATTAATTAAGTTCATCTAGTATATTGTAGTGTGGTACCATTGTGTAGACTATATTGCCATTATGAGGGTAATTCATACTGACAGACATCCAAGAAACCGTATCTCATTAGCAAAAATTCCGTT